CACAACGACAGCCACGTACTCAAAGAGCCGCATTCTCAGAATTCTGCCTCTGCGTTAGTTTCCTGCTTCAGATGCAATTTTCCTGACGTGGCCAATGCCGGTGAATGCGATAAGAACTGCTGGACTTGTTTTTTGTAGCCAGCTGCAGACAATATGGCAGCAATGAACAAGGGCGCCACTTTAAACTGATGCAGCGCTACAGTAGCTCTGTGACGACAACAATGACGCCATGCTAAACTACCATACAGAACATAATAAAGGTTTATGTTTGAAAATCCAAAAAAAGCTCAGACTAACACCCTGATGTGGTCACACAATATTAGCTTACAGAATCTGGTCGTACATATAGCTGTGCAATAATATGTTCGTCTTTATATCAATCCTGTAGTACGTTCGCATCGGGAATAAATGAAGGAACTTATAGTGGCTAGCTGTTGTCGCAGTAGTGTCATTCTGTGGCAATTCCTACCACTTCTCTTTCCCTATATGCGCTTCCTTACCGCTGCCGCTACTGCTCTATGTACAACCCTGCTGTTCTAGCACCGATTGACTCTATCGCTATTTCTGTGCCTGAGACATAAAGGTCGAGGCAAGCCCTTATCGGACCAGTTAGCGGCAGTATGGGTGTCGATGGAGGACCGCCATGATGGTGGTGCTGGCGGTCATGTGAGATGCGTAAACCCCACCCCAGTGCGGTTGTAGAAGGGAGAGCAAGGGGCGAGATGGGGTCGTGCAGACTCGACTCAGCCTGGTGTGGCCTAGGGTCGACCATGCCCAGGCCTTTGGGATGATGGCCAACGCTGGATCTTTGGCGATAGTCAGGGAAGAGAGCGAGGGAAGGACTGTGGGGTTGCTCGGTCGTTTCCTTTCCTACCTCCATCATCTCATTTAATTAGAATCAGCCTTATTCGCTGCTGGTTGACTGGCGAGCCGTCCACAGGCCGTTGCTACTTGCTACATATACGCCCGAAGTTCACCAGCCGTTGTCGCCGTCGCCGTCCTTGTATTCCTCCATGGGTCATGCAGCGAGCGAGCGTCTTTTCCTGCAGGGGCAATCCCAGCCTCTCCCCTTTTTCCTCATAGCCGCATCTCAGAGCTGCTAAGCACTCTCCTCCTGAAAAGAAGTAGAAGGAGGCAAACTTCCCGGTCAGCAGACCGACTACACGCCTGTTTGGCAGGCTGACCTAGGCATTGAGCGGAATATACGTAGTAAGAAGCAAAGACAAGCTAAAGAGCAATAGAAATACGAGGAGCTAAAGAAGACGAGGGGGTGACGCATCGCACAATGCATTACCACCATCACCGCCGATACGACCACTACCATCATCAGGGGCCAGTCTCGCGGTGAAAAGCACCGAACGTAGATGGCTAACTATGGCTTGTGCGCCTCTAGCGATCTACTAGATACAAATACTTGTTTCGTTTTAGCATCTAGAGGTCTGTCATCACAGTTGACAGATGAATATTTGTTCTTTCATTCATTTATTTTATTTGACAGAAATAATATGCTACAGATCGCGAGCGGGCTTGGTAGAGCACTGCCTATCTCTGAAGAAGTTATCTTGTAAATGTAGAAGCCGTTAATGAGTAATGACGAAATAAGTTGTAACCATTTTCGTGAGTAGCTGAATATGAAAAAATTTAAGGTTAAAAACGTAGCAAGTCAATATTCAACGAAATGGTTGTTCGTTTGATTCCATAACTAGAGCATGCGGGACAGCACCTCGATACAGGCTTCCACTCAAGTGGGATCGGTAAGGATCGAAAGAACTAGGAAGCTATTTGTATAGGAAACTGTCGACAATAATGCCACAATAACGTGTGAGAGTAACGAAGATTCCGAAGAAGGCGAAGTAGTTAGTAGAGGGATGAAACAGGGTCGAGTATTTGGCTTGGTGAGAGTGGCCTCGGCCCATTTTTCCTACTCTCTACGACCAAATTGCAATGATTTATCAAGCCGATAAGGGTTTTATGATGAGCGATGTTGATGATCGTGATGATGATAGCATTCAACGAACGAAAAATAAAGGTGGCAGGTGACGCAGCGCAAACGAATGTAATACCTACAGGAAGTGTAACTTACGGTGACATTTGTTGGGCAGTGCTGCTGGCGAGACCGGTGACGAATGTTACTTCGTTGAAGTTTTTTTTACTTTCAAATATTGTTTGAGGAGGAATTACCCAGCAGAGTTTATAAACGACTGTGTTTGTTTTAAGAACCTCCATAACCCTCATATACGAGGGACGTTGCAATGGGGAATTAACTGGACTCGTTTAACCTGCTAATGTTCTGGATGCCGGGACTGGTGGGCCAACATAACGGAATGTTAACTGTACCGATGTACTCTGTCTCCTTTATTTAAGGTTAATTGGAGTTCGAACTCTAGAAGGCCAGACCCCAAAAGGCGATGTGATGATCTCTGGACTTGTCGTACGCAGTATACAGTAACAGTACTAGCGAGCATGGGTGGACCCAAAATGCGTCCAGTGATGGTCGACGACGGCAGCGACAAACCTATCGCCTCGAAATCGAGCTAGAGTGAAGCCAGCGATAACCCTCCAGCGAACTGTCCGTTGTTGATACCTATTCCTTTCATTTGTGACATGAAACAAGCGTGAACGAATGGGATATTTTGATAGACAATGGTGGCCTAGTGTGAATATATCATGGCACACTCAGCACTGATTGGAAGATATTTCCAGAAGTAGGGAACCCGAGCGATACACGGGTAATAAAATTAGGAACGAATAAGGACGAATATATATAGCTGTTACGTTTATACTGCTGTTAGCAGTAGGTTGTGTGCCGCATGGGAAGGAACCTGTCACAGTTATCACTATCAGCAATCGTCGTGGTCGCCGTCGTTGTCATCGCTGACTTACACCGATATCATATCGCAGCAGTGAAGGCGTCGGAAGGGCCAGCCCGCTGCGTGACACCTCATAGAGTGTATGCGACAATAATGAACTTGTGGAACCTGAGGGAAAACCAGAAGCCTCAGAGGTTCGGATTGGTTGCGAACGAAACGGAAGCAATGGGCAACGACCAGGATCAGTCGAAAAAAGGAAGGATCTTACGACTTGGGGACGATTGTCGTCATCATCTCGACTAGCTCCGTGACACTGATGTTCTTGCCAAATAAGCGGCATTATATCACGGAGGCTTGCCACCCCTATAACCGGGTCGCTGTCCGCAGCCGAGAGTCCTGAAATCTGAGCACCAAGTGTCAGACGCATCGAATGCTCAACAAAAACATAATCCATAGAACCAGCATCCGAATGCAGTGTGCGATTGAAGCATTCAACTGGCAGGACAGGGTAGGATAGGCGCGAAAAAAATGTGCCTCATTGGCTATGATACAATGTGCCAATTCGATTCTGTGGGATAGTCACACTAACCGTTGTCGTAGTACCGATAGTACAAGTAGTAACAGTATAAGCATCTAACTAGCGCCATACTTGAGTTGCGCGTGCAGTGCCATCATAGGGAACAGTGCAGAAGGCAGACCATTTTATGTCACCACTGGAAATTGCCTACTGCTGATTTACGATCTTCATTTAATCAAGATAGTTGACCAAGCAAGTTCAATTATCGCATCCTCTTCTCTCGCATTATCGCTTCGTCAATGGACCACAAATTTGCTTACCGTTTTTGGTGCATGATCTTAATACAAAACAATTTAGTTACTACAAACTCCAAGAAAGGGATATTACTATATCGACAATGACGAGCAGTATTCTAAATGCGTCGTATCTCATACAGCCCATTGGTAGTTGTATAGAATATGAAGCATTACAATTCAAACCGGTACTACTTACAGACGGCAGAAAGCTGTAAGACCGGCCGGTCAACCAGCAGATTTGTATAGCAGCTTTTAGTAGAATCGTGCTAACGGGGGATGATATAGGTGCCCTTTAGCTAGAGGTAAGCTAGTCGTCATAGAGACGGACTCACAGAGATTGCCCTGTGCCAGACAAACAGAGATGGCTAGCTGGGCTGGGCTTGGCTGGGCTGGACTGGGCTAGGCTAGGCTAGGCTAGGCAAGTCAGGTCTGAAGTCTTTGATCGGTGAGGTCTCGATGCGGTGCCATTGACCCGACAGCGCTGCTGCTACGACTCTCTCTGCCATTGCTGCTGCTGCTCAACCACAAAGGGGGCCTGAAGCGTGCCTGAAAGCCATTAGGCTGCACGCACCGCCTACTACCCTGTCCGGCCAGGACCATCTAGCCTTCTCGTTGGGCGTCGAGCGGAACTTCGGCAATTCAAACGGCGTCGAAACCATCGGAGCTCGTAACATTAGCTCGGACCACTACGCAACTCTATTATGGGGCATGCTCAATGCAAGCCCGTAGCAGCAGCAAAACTATTTTAGCGTTAACTCCAAGGCCATTCGGTGTCGGCTTTATTCATACCAAAATATGCGTTCCTTCCTTTCCGATGATAGCCGGTCGGCCGGTTGACAGTCTACTTTATAGAGCTGGTGAAGCTGAAAAATTGTGAAGCATTGCAGGGAGGGAAGTGGGGTCACGATATTGTTTCAGGCTAGTCGCACAGATCCTCAGCGTCTGATTCGACGCTGTTCGTTTTAGATGAAACCTCATTGCCGCACCGAAACGCGCGAATTTAACGCCGGCTTGTTATAGATTTTCCGGGTGCATGATGCAGAATTGTCAGAATCGAAAGGTCTGAATAAGACGTATCATGTTGTTAGGTAATTGTGTACCCGTTTAAACCATGACGTTCTATTAGAAGGAACATTATTGAAAGCTAAATGGACTTTCGGCTAGCCGCTGGCTATTGTTTACGGACATTTTTACGAAACACTCAACATCAATCGACACATCACGAATTTCTCAGCTCAGCTAGCGTAACAAGACAACCTTTTCCAATGTCTTATTTTAACGAAGCAGGCGTCTAAAATAACACATGCGCCGAATATTATTTGTGTAGTTCCTGTCAGCCTGTGTGAAGTAATATTTTCTTTTTCTACCCATTTTCAGATGGCCAGGGCGGATGTCCGACGAGTGCCCCGAAGCGGACCCGACAGACATACACCCGGTACCAGACGCTAGAACTCGAGAAAGAGTTCCACTTTAACAGGTATGCCGATGAAGATATTCTGTATGAGCAAACGTAAAGCTTGCGTAAGCCGAATACGCTCCCGATTGAAAGTATTGGCTATTATTCCAGGAAGAGGTTGTCCGGTACATGCAGTGTCAGAGCAAATTTCGAGATATTCTTTACTCGTGCATAAGTGCACGTTAGTAGACAGCAGTTCTCCATGAAATGATAATGAGCACTATACATTAACGTAGAACAAAACGCAACAAAATGCTCAGGTCACTTTGAAGTTAGCGACTTAACAGTTATTTCTAATCGATAGTGATTCCGCACTAGAGCTGTTTTCGTTTGTGAATAGGTCCGCTAAAGTGATAAGTTTTCCATAAATTTATGTGAGAGTGTATGCGAGCACGGTGTGTGTATGCTTGTGTGTTTATATAGTGGGTCAATGTTGCCCGGGTCGTTGGACTCATTGCGTGTACGAACTAAGCTGATAAGTTGCTTATGAATCGGTCATCGTTATCGAGCTATCGACTTCTATGTGGAGTGCTAACTCGCAATTCCCGCAAAGCCTACTGTAGTGTTCCGACTTCGCTGAGTGTACGTGTGTGTCCGAAGATAGTATTGAATGACTTGTCAGGGTCCCATTTCCTCTGCCATGCCAGGGAACTCGGAGCTTGGGGGAGAAAAAGAACGAGGAGGCGAAAACGACGGGTAAAGGAAAGCGGAGATCCTGATCGATGTCTTTTTCTCCGTACGGAGCGGCGGATGCGACCTTTATGCGATGTTACTTTCAGGAGCATTGGGGCAAGCCGGCAGCACAGGCTTTGAATGGACATTCTTCCCTACGAACATGGCCAGACAAAGCCAGCGGCAGAGGGTTCGTTTCATCTACATCCTGTAACATTGTTTCCACGCGCACGTTTACACACAGACACACAAAGACCCTATGTAGCAATGTAACTGCCGCCTACTGACTAGCTGTTCAGTGATTCCGCATTAGTCACACAGTGTGATTTGATAACACCAGGAGGGCAACGTCTAATTGATGTCTTGCTGCGAAGGGAAATCGGAAGAGTTCGTCCCGTTTTAGCCAGGTCTGCCCCTACTCAGCCAAGGAATGGAAGCAGTCGAGATGAGTAGCAAGCTAAAACGAACCTGCATTTCGCCCTTCGAATAAAACAACAGCGACAGGACGTTGACATTTAGTATATAATGGACGAGAGCTGAGCAGGCCGTTAACTACGACTAAAATCATGGCCAAGAACGGTTGCTACGCATGAATAGAACTGATATATACGGTAGGAGAAAGGTGTACGTACGTAAGCAAGGCCCATAAATGCTTGGTCTGTGATAAACTTGCCATACAGCAATGAAGCTACAACACTTCCTATTCTAAAATTGTTTAATGGTTCTTATTAATCATTTCGGTGATGTGAGTCAATAGGCAAATGACCTGCCCCTTGTGGTAATATTTATCCTTTCATATGTTATATTCTAGCGTTAGCTGCCACTGAGACATCGAGGGATATCGCTTGCGAAGAAGTAGGGTGTATACGTTAGAACGATGCTAGCCTATATCGTAGTAAAATCGCCGAGCAAGTAGCTTCGGAGCCGTGGCCGAGATCTGCTGCGACTGCAGCTCCCAGTAGGGAGGGATATTCCGGCTGCCGCAACGGCTGTTGCTACTGTAAACTGTTTCGGAAATGCAAAATTTCTAATTCCACAAACACCCTCTCCCGCTTTGCGTTGAGGTGGTGGTCGTTGGCGTAGACGGTGGCGGCTGATAGGAGAAGCAGGAGGAAGAGGATTATGTGACAGTGGGCGAATGTAGGCAAAAGCCACAGCCGCTCCTGTCCCGCTGTCTATTTTTCCCCACCGAACGGGAGAAACGGGGAGAGATGACGATGACAACGATGAAAAATGGACGAACGAACCTCTGTGACGATTGTGTTGTCGGTCTATCAGTGCTTCTTCGGCAGCTCTTTGTGCCTCCGTATAGACTCGTATAGTGTATGGAATATATGTGTATCGGTAGTTTTTTCTACAAACAGCATAATGTTCCTGCTCGAGCTTGGTCCCGCTCTTTGTTTCTTTGCTGCTGCTGCTTCTGCTGCTACAGTTTCAAGCGTAAGCTGCAGCAGAAGCTCAACTATCGTCCCTTTGCGGTGGAAGTTGTGGTAAGCGTAGCAAATTTTGGAACAGTACGCCCCTGAATCGGCGCGTTCCTCCTCCCCACACGGTCCGGGGCAGTTTTCTACGCTAAGCTATAGCGACGGCTTCGATCTACGGTAGTATAGCGGAAGTCTGCAAGCATAGGCCTGCCTGCCTGCCTGCCGGCCGGCCGCTTGCCTGACTGATTGTTATTCAGAAATTCAGCAGCAAGGGCGGAAGAATATCTTCTTTTTTTTTGCTCTTCTTCGCCGCCTTTTTCTCTACTCGAGAAGACTAAGAAATAGCTGTCTTGTCTCGGATATTGAACGAGGCAGCTGGCCAGCTGTGCGGCTTCGCGCACGTAGCTGATAGCCCGTGCGTCGCCCCAGATAGAAAAGGGAACAGATGCGGGGAAAAGCCAACTTGACTAGCAGTGAGTCGACGCTGGGATACCCAGTGTGTTTCAACAATCAACTCCCTATGTCGCAGGACAGCAGGAGTAGCGGCCGCCTAAGGCAGCTCTCGTCACGTAGGGTCGTCCTATCAGTAGCTGCTACCACCTAAGTTCCCCTCCTTGTCTTATGAAGACAGCAAGCTGTCTCCAGTCAGGGCTTTCCAAACGGCCGTGGAGCTGTTCGCCGTCGTAAGGACTGCCTGTGCGTATGTCACTATAAAAATGGCATCAACCAGTCAGCTCACTGATTTGAAGTCGCAGTAGCAATTCAGCCGTAGAGGCAATGGCCGAGGCCTACAGGCGAGCCTGAAGAAAAAGAACACTCTTACGCTACGCCACTAGTACACGTCACCCAAACATACATCGATGGTCGCGTATACAGTCGGCCAACATCAGACCGCTAGCGGCTGCAGCGGCCGTTTCAAGAGGACGAAGTCGATGCCGCGTCCTGTCACTGCAGGAGGCGCCAAAGCAGATGCTCCGTGCACACACTATTGTTATTATACATCAGTCTCCGCCATTTTCTATCTCTTAGCTTTGTCATTGCTACCTTTATCTCTAGACGCTCGGTGTCTTAGTGTGTGCGTAATGGAAAGCATATGATCCACCTTTTGAATCCTGTCTTTTCTCACCACTCTCCGGCTAATCTTATTTCCGGCGTAACATCATAGAAATGCAGTTCATCAGCTAGCTAGCTAGCTAGCTAGCTAGCTGCATAGGTATAATATTAGCTGCACTACCTTGTTATTTATCCATTTTGCCGCTCGTTTTGTGCGCGATGATCCATGCCAACCCGGGACTAAGCGGATACTGCCTCCTTCGCGGCTAGTGCCACACACCGGAAAAGGTACGCAGACGCCTACTCGATGTATCAACGTCTGTTTTCGAGTTTGCTTATTCGTTGTCTCCGTTGCATGTCGCGTATAGCTGCGGTAGATCTGTCCGTCCATAGGCCTTCTAATTCTCGGCGGCCGTAGAGAGAATCATGACGCATCAAGCAAGCGCGAGAGAGTCGCGCACGCGAGTGAAAAACACAGAAGTATTCTATCATCGTTGTTCTCTTCACTTCTCTGTATTGATGCTGCTGCTGCTGCTGTAAAAGTCGAGAAAACAGGCCAAGTCAGGCCAACTCAAGCTACGCCGATATGAAAAATGAGTGGCGAAATAGCTCTCGAACGAGGGAACATTGTTCTCACATTAAATACATATTTCTCGCTCTCCCTCACTCTCTGCCTAGAAGCTCACTTATGGCCGAGGCGACTGCATATCTGCTAGTCTAGGCTGAACTATGTAGTCGTGTAGTCGACGCTGCTTTGACTTTGGTTAAACGTGGCCTTCCCCCAGTGTGTCCCTTTTTCCCCATCATTGAAGCGCTGCTTGCACCCAGACGAGAAGGTAATTTTAAGTAGACACTCACACAACGATAAACTCAACCACATTACCATCAGTCGTGGCTCAATGCAGACCGCGTCAGCGGAGTAGATGTCTAGCTACATGTCTTCCCCGATCGAGCCACACATCTCTCGTACGCTATGAGTGGTAGAGCAGCCTCGATCTCATTGTCGATCCTCATCTGCGCCGATGCTGCTGGCTGTAGTGCTAATGGTGGCAGTGTTATGGCTAGGTAATCGTAGGGGTGCAGGGGTAGTGCACCGCTATGGATGCCATTCGGAGGTACTTGTATTGTCGAAGCTGCCGTTCCTAACACTTATTGTAGCAGCAGCAGCAGCAGCAGCAGCAGCAAATCGTGGACGAAGAGAAATAGTAAATAGCGTAGATCTAACCTGAGCTATCCCCTATCTAACAGTAGATAACTTAGCTTGATCATCTATCTGTCCATCCATCTACAGCTACTAGAAATGTTACTGCGCGCCTATTCGCCTGATTCTCCACTTCGCCTAAAATAAGTGTCTGTCGACAACAATTCTGCGCGTGATCGTGAGGCTGCATTCATTTAGGTTAGGTCTGAAGCTGAAAATTCGTACCCCATTGCACGACACGAAGTCGTAGTATCGAAGAAATCGACGAGTTACTATCGTAGGTACACTACAATGTCGGATTGTCCTGAAGAAGCTTCAGACACCGCCATGGAGATATTCAGGAACCAAGAATGATTCGTTGCTGGGACAAATCCCAGACTCCGAACGAACCTTTCAAGAGAAGAGAGGTCGAAAAAGTGCTAGATCAAGAGACAGAAAGCATAGATGATAAATGAGCATAATCAATGTGTGCCTCGGCGGCAATGTAGACTGCGACATTGTGCAGAAGAAGCCCGTGACTTTACTTCTCAGATCATGGTCTCGCTTGCTTGTCTGTCCGCCCGTCCATCGATGGGAGGATACCATATTATATGCCTATTGGCAGCGACAGTCGCCGCCTCAGCCGCCGCGCACTGTATTCGGACTAAACCGCGGGTCAGACGACTCTGAGT